ACCTGTTGCCCAGGCAAGCTGGTGAGGTCTTGGTTTCTTCTCTCTGTCGGGTGTTAACAAAATGCTTTCTTGTTTCATCAAGGGCAATTGGTAAGTCAGGAAGGGCTATGGGGTATTTTGGCTGCTCAGTCCTACGGAAGAACCTGGTCTTCTGTCTCCTTCCAGAGTTTTTCAAAGAGATCAGAACTCCTGTGCATTCAAACTGTGTTAAACCAATGCTGCTGAATCTGGAGGAGTTAAAAAATGTCTTAGGATGGTTTGAAATAACTGGTTATGAAACATTATTTCACAAAATTTTACTGTTCAAAAAAATAAGAACTTCAACAGTATTTATAGATGTATTTTATTTATATATTATTTTTTATCAGTCTGTGCCAAGCATTGCAACACAAATTCTTCAGTAGGTGTTTCCTTGGTATTTTGTTCTATGGAGAATGTTTCTGTAAATACGTGAACACCTGCAGATTAAGATGGAAGCAACAAAAGTATTGCAGGAACAGACATTTCCCTGACTTGTTTGTGAAATGATCAGCTACTGCCTCTGTGTTAAAGGACCTAAAATAAGGCTGCTGAAATGTGAGGCTGCTGCTCTGGGCTAAGCCCTCCGCTTCCCCAAATGTTTGTAGTCAAAGATTCTTTTATACTTTTTAACTCCAGGTTTGGAACTAAGGCTGCAACAGCTCTCTTGCCTGCTCTTTGTAGTGACTCACCTAATTTAAAAGGAAACATCAGGATCTTGGAGCTTGTTTTTGTGTGGATACAGTAGGCATCTGAATACCCGTAGAATGATGAGACAATTACCCGGCACTAAAACTTGAGAGCGCCCTAAGCTTAATTTTTTTGCATCTCTTTTGTGCAATGTAGGTTCCTTAGGCTTTAGGTTACCTACTAACATAGTAGGATTTTTCTTAGAAAAAAAAAAAAGTTGTACATGAGTTATGCATGGTGTTTATTCTTGGCTGTTCCTCCTTGTGCGGAGCTTAGGGACGTGGTTTAGTGGTGGAACTGACAGTGCTAGGTTAATGGGGTTAGGCTTGACGATGTTGATGGACTCCCCCAACGTGAACGGTTCTATGGTTCTGTAAGTTGTCTGTTGCAAAGCATGTTACTCTGCAAGCAGGCAGCTAATCTCAGCGACGTTGTTCCAGGACTCAAATATTAAACCAAAGAAAGAGCTATCTACATCTGCCTTTAAATGTTAGTTTTTTGAAACCTGGATTAAAAGCACCTTACTGTAAGAAATCGGTTGTGGTTACTCTGGGCTGTGAGGCTTCTTGTTAATGTAGTTCAGATGGGGATCTGCTTGTTTCCCTGTGTTTTTCTGAGGTTGCAAGCGTGTTTCACCTGCTGTTTCAGAACATCAAATAAAAGAAATTGAGTTATGATTTTTGGAACAAATTGTCGGAGAAAAAGACCAGAGCATTGCCTGAAAGTGTGTGGGAGAGGAGGACCACCAGCAACAAAAAAACAAATCCTCAGGCTAAATGGAAGAGGAAAGCATGTTGCCCTTATACCCTTCTCCCCAGCCTGAAACGCAGCTACCAGTTACCTAATTCTAGCTTTATTCTGATGAAATCAATGCTGTTTTGACAGGGCTATATTTGACTTTTTTAGCATAATGTGATTTAGCAGGGCAATCGCTCTTTAGATCAAAACGGCTGTAACGTTTCCAGTACTACTAAGAAACTAATAGTGCCACTTCCTGTCTCTCTCCTGATTAACCACAGACCACGCTCTGTTGGTTTTCTACACGGTAAAATTCTCCCGTGAGTTTTTGAAAGGCAGGGGCCAGAACATCCCCGCGCCCCTGCAGAGCGTGCTCTGGGGCGGGTGCTGAAAGCACGCCAGGACAAGGACACTGATCTGGGCTCCGCGCCCACTGTCGCTGCCCAGCTGCCCAGCAGCCAAAGCACTGCGAGCGCAGAACCCTTCAGCAAACGTGGTTTAACCTGTTACGTGTCCGCAGCCGAGACGCAGCTCGCAGCTCTGATCACCTCTTCTCTGAACAGATGTAGGAGAGCCAGACATGAAATAAAGTGACAAGAATTATGAGGCCCGTGGAACAGTTTCTGTATGAGAATAGACTACGTGGACGAGCAGTGAGATTGATGGCAGAAAGTGACAGCTGGATAGTGGCTCTTAGTTTCCCCCTGATCATATACCCCCTTGTACAGTGGCTTTCAAATTGGAATGATATTCTTGAAGAATTTACTTTAGGAGGAGTCAAAGCATGTGCAGAATGGTGATCTGGCTGGTATAGTCTACTTGCATTTCCAAGAGGCTTTTGGCAAAGTTTCTTATCAAAGTTTTTGTAAGGAAACTAAGCAGGTAGGGGATAAGAAAGAAGGTCGTGCCATGGAGACATGTTTAAAAGACAGCACAAAGAGGACAATAGTGACCAGTCAGCTCTCAGAACAGGTTACAAGCGCAGCGATCTGAGCTGTTGAAAATGGTCTGGAAAAGGATATGAGCAATGAGGCTGAGAAAGGCTGCCGACGATACAGATTACTCGGGGGAGCGGGGACAAGGAAAGCAGATTGTCAAGAGTTCTAGAAACATGGCTGAGTGACTGGGCAATGAGATGGGAAGTGAAATTCACGTTATTTAAAGGGGTGCACATGAGAAAAAAAAATGACCCTAAATTGACATATAAAATAATGGCCCCTGACAATCACCAGTGACATCCAAGATCTAAGGTTACAACAGACAAAAACATCAGCTAAAGCAAATTGTACGTCGGAGATAATTGGAAAAGGAGCAGAGAAAGTGATATGAATCCAAGAGCCATGGAGTTGACTCTCTGTGCACTTCTGGTCCCCTCTTCTCAGTAATGGGATGGTGAGACTGGAGGAGTTCAGCGAAGAGCAACAAGGGTGACCGAAGGCCAATGCCTTCTCTTGGAAGAACAACTGAACAGGACAGGACTCCATGGCCTGGGAAGGAGATTATTTAGGAGGGGAGGTCATGTGTGTCTACAAAACTCTTAAACACGGTGTAAAAGAATGGATGGGACTGATCATTTACTGTTAACTGGGAGGAATCAAATGAAGCTACTGGGAAGCAGGTGCTTCACCCTCCCCAGGATCCCTCCCCACTCCAATGCTTCATGCAAGGAAAAAGCTGACCCGCTGAACTTTGCCAAAAAATGTTGGCTGCTTCAAGTTGGCATGAATTCAAGAGAAGACTGAACAAAATTCAGAGCAGAGATCTATCTCGCTTGGTAAATATAGAGAAAACATAGATATATATATATAGCCCAGGAAATCCCCCAAACTAAATACAGTTGGAGCCCAGGACAGTATTCAGGGGAAGTGCTTGCTCTTCCTGGCCTACAACCACTGTGGAGAAAAAGGTCAGGGTCGGAGGATCCTTGTTCTGACCTAGCACAGCCACTCTTGTATACTTACATTGCTAATATCCAGTCTAACACAGGCATTTAATGCTGCCATGCGTGTGGGAGCTGGCAAACGTGTGCCAAATAGTGTCAAGAAGTGTATTTTCATCACATAGGTCAGTCTGAGATTCTTCATCTAACAGTTAAACGCGCTAAGTTCTGCAGTTGATCCAGTACAGTAACGTTTGGTTTGACAGTTGCAAGTTCCGCTTTCATATCCATTTCCTTCTTTCTTCAATAGTCTGGTAACTGAACACAGTGAACATAAGGATGATTCCTCTCCTATACAGTTTTAAAATTTGCGTTTGCCCTTCAGTCTCTCATCAGGTAACTTAAAAGTTGTTTCCTTACGTCTTTCGGGCAAGAATCTGCATTCTCCACAAGTTATGTGTGTGACGTTTTATGTTTTCACTTTCTTTTTCCTATACAAGACTTACTGAGCCAAAGCAAGTTTCTAGCTTGCGTAACCTAAAGCCTTTGACTCATACTGAAGCGGACGCCTGCAGCAGCTTAGGGCAGCTCTGCTTCCCCAGGGGTCTGTCTCTGCTAGAGGTGAAGGGCTGCGCTCCACACGGTGACAGACAGGAACAGGCGAGTCCTTCCCTGCGGTGGCAGTTCCCAGTCGGGTGTATCAGCTTACAGAATCTGCCCTCAGCCTGTTTGTCACCCAAATAGCCGTTAAAGAAACCTAAGGGTGGGGCACGACAAGGCTGCTACAAAGAATGTATGGCAGATGCACGCTCTGTACGCAGAGGCCTAAGTGGCACTTGACAGTGACTCAGAAGACCATTTCTTATTCAGGCTACGTTCTTTTAATAACGAAGGGCAAAGCCAGCTGTTAGGCAAGCTGATCGAAGCAAGAAACTGTATAGCTAAGTGAGAAACCCACCCTTTGCCATACGCACAAAAAGGGCTAACAGCTCTCGAGCACAAAAATAATCCCCCTGAAGTTCAAGGTAAAAGTCATGGATGTTAAGAGCCAGACAGTCATTTTGTCCCACTAGATCCTGGCTCGCAGACAGACGGTGCTCCTGGGGGTTTTTGTGTATGTGTTCTGCCTCGCCAACTGCCAGTGCTGGCGATCTCCGCAGAAGCCCCCCTACTCTGATGCCGGAGGAGATGCACCCGGCCCTCCAGACCCAAACAGCAATACTGACTGTTGTGAAGGGGCAGGGAACGGGGAGGATTCCTTTTTGTCCCTACTTTGGGCAACAAAAATAGAGAACTCCCTTGAATTTTAGGAAACTACACACTTTACAAATGGGAGCTATGTTCTATAAATAAAGGCAATACACGCACTTACTGCTATACAGTATTTGTTTTTTTCCTTTTCTGGTATCTGTCATAGCTTTAATCTTGCTTTGTAAACATCTGGAAAAGCCTAAGGCCGCCCACAGGGCTTTCTAGCTGTCTAAGTCACTGTGCAACTGTACACCATCTTGCATTATTCAGCATCTGGCTTCATAGCTCAAAGGCACGAGTGTAGATCTCAGTTAAAAGAACAGGACTGGCCATAACAAGGTCAAGTATGGGCAGCAGACACCCTGGCAAAAAAAAAAAAAAAAAGGCAGAAGATGGACAAAAAAAGGTTAAACTTGCAAAAGTATCATAAGCAGCAACAGTATAATCTGCAATTAAATACTGCTTGTGTTATCAACCACTTGTGGGCAGGATGTTGCTGTTTATATGAGCAAAGATAATTCTTCATAAAGAGTTTTGCACCCATCATTGAAGAGAATCCCTCAGGAATCAAGGAAAATAAATGCTACATTGTCAGTTAAGCTGCTAACTGTAGTACTGAAGATACTTATAATACATTCGAATTAGGAGATTAGCATTCAGCTATCAAGACAAAGCATCAAAAGAATGGAGAAAAAATTCTTCCCTCTGTAGTCCTGCACTTGAACATCACTTGAAATACCACTCAGGAGAGCAGTTTATGGGCTCTTCCTTCCAAAGAGTCTTCAGACGCTGGGCCCAGGCAATCAGCATCTCCTTCCTCTTCTCCTCAGAGACATACTCTGGAGCGAAGCAGATGTGAGGTGCGAGGACTTTGACACCACAGAAGTGCATGATTCCGTGCTGGACACAAAACAAAGGAAGAAATGCCTCAGGAAATAAGGTCGTCTTCACTTTCAGTTCAAGAATGTGGAACCTTGTTCCTCTGACCCAATATATGGCAGGTTTTCTAAACCTGTGCTTTTATCAGGAGAAGGGAAATAAATTGCAAAAGTTCATTACCTATCCTGGCAGTCACTATTGAAGGCTAGGCATTAAGCAGATCGACACACCATACATTGAAAAATACGGCAAACTTCATTTATTCTGCTCTCTGGAATTTATTTTTAAGTGCTATTAAACCCACAGAACTGTTCTCTGCAGCTGCTGTATGCTATTAAATTTGCAAGGATCAGAGACAGCCTAAAGTTCACTGTACTGTTTGAATCTCCACAGATTGTTCCTGAACTGCAGTGTATTTCTGATCTACTTCTAAGTTTGTTTGTTTTTTTCTTTTTTAATCTTTTGCCTCTGGCTTAGCAAAATGATCCTGAATGAAGGCTAGTGCCTTTCAAATTAGCCCAACTTGCCATCTTCCCTGTGTGCATTTCTGAATTCACAGCTGCTTTTCACGTTCTTTGTCACGTTGACCTGCACGCTCTGCAGCAAGGTACCCTCACAAGGGCCGACGGGTAGGAGACCAACACATCCGTTGTATTCTGTCAAGAAGTAGCTGGCACAGTTTGCCTTGCAACCCAAATTTCTCAAGGCATGCTTGCTACTTCTGATAAAAGGGCAGCAATAAGAAAAGGCAAGCTAACTTTCATATGCTGATCATTAATGCCAGGATAACGTGTGACTCCCCTCCTGCCCCGCATCCTACATGAATCGGGTAGATGTGGGGAAAAGAAATCCTGCACGCTAGGGCTCAAGGAAATTCTGTAAACCCAGAGAAACTTAAAAGGCTGAGCTTTCTCCCGATTACAGTTGGGAGGAAGGGGCACAAAACAACTTTAAAACTCCGTGGACTTTTAAAGTAGTCTCAGGATTTTAGGGCCCAATTTATAACCTGCAGATGCTTGGAACTGACAACCTAATTCTTTCTTATTATATTTTGTATAAACTAAACAGTAATACAACTGTTAAAAATAATTGGAATAATAAGAATTAAGGCAAACAACCAAATATTCTTATATTATACCTGCATTGGCCACAGGAGATAGCGAATATCCCCGCTGATACCTCCTTTTGCATACATCTCTCTGCTTCCTCCAGTGGTGAAAGAAAACAGGGCTAACTTGTGCTAGGATTAAGCAAGCAACACTTGAGTTAGGCATGTTTGAAGAAGAGTGGCTGGTGGTTCAAGAGCGGTATTTGGATATTCAGGGGAACCTGGACAGCATGAATTTCTAGAGGAGGTGGTGTCCTCTTCCTTCCCAGACCTTATGTGTAGTGGCAGCTCTGAGGCAAAGATTGACAACTAGACAATGGACTGTGTGTCAGGGCTTTGGGCAGAAACAGGTTAAAAAGAAAAGGAATTACACGTCTGACACCTTCATATGAAGCAGGGCTGACCCTTGTTCTCCCTTGTGCAGTGTTTGGAAAACTGGCTGGAAAGCGCTCCGTTACTGCTAATCTCTTTATTCCTGTCCTTTCTGAACGCAGCAATTGAATGCTACAGTACCCTGTCAAACCTGGGCTTGCTTGTCACTTGCCAAGGAATAACTTGAGAACAAAGTATTCCTCAGGTGTTCTAAGCCCCTGTGTTCCTTCTGCTTCTGTAACTATGGCATTAGCCACCGGCCTGTGCAAGTTTTAGCTTCTGTAATTGAGATAACATTTTTCCAGTGCAGCACCTGAACTGCCTTTAGCCTGCGCTCAGCACGCAGCTACGGTCATAGGGGATTGTGCCTGTTCAGCTCAGTGAGACAGCCATTGCTGAAATGTAAGCAAACTGAAATTTCTGGAATTGTTAAGAAGATCAGAAATTACAGGGATTAATACGCAGCAAACATAAAGATGAAAATAATATTGTTTCTCGATGCTGCAGTTGTTACCAAATAAGATCCAACAGACAGTGGGACAAAATTTTCCAAGGATATTCCCAGTGCTGCAGAGAACTAAAAATTTATGAATTGGCATCTAGAGATACTGATCTTGCCTGATTTATAAGCTACACAGAAGAAAAGGTTTAAAAGAGATAGTTGGGACAGAGGCTCGTGCACTGGGTATTTCAGGTTTCTGATAAAGTTTCACAGTTTAATTCCAACCTTTGACATCTAATCCCAGAACAGGATCTTGTCACCTATTCTAGTGTGTCACTCATTACAGATCTGTGTGGCTCTGCGGCGGTGGGAAGAATGACAGACTACGGTTTTAGGAAATGGATTGATTTAAACTGTTGGCAAGCTGTGTGCCATCCTAGTGCACGCCGATACACCCACCAAATTGCAAAGCCCATTTTGTAGACTAACTAGAAATCTCTGGGAGACTGCTTAAATCTTTAGGAACCACTGCATTCCCCCTATTGTACTACCTTTCAGACAGTTTTAAGAAGCCAGAAAGTTACTCAGCATGTTACCAAAGCATTATTTCAGAATAGCGTCAAGTGAGAGTTTTAAACTAATATAATGGAAAAGAAAGACCAATACTCTCAAGAGCATTGTGCAAATCTTGATCTTAATAAAACAATCTCAGAAACTTACCTTGAGCAAACCGGAATCGTAACAGTTTGGAAATTCGTGAGCAAATCCTTGGACCAAGACTCTGTCCATCCAGCCCTTCATGATTGCTGGCATGCTGAACCAATACAAGGGAAACTAGGCAAAAAGTAAATTACCTCGTTAGCACAGAGCATCCGGGCCATCCTTAGGCCTGGTCTACAGGCCAGATCCTATTCCCTTCATCTGTTCAGGTCTTGCGCATGCCTTCTCCCAGCTCCCCGTCAGGAGAGGCAGTAACTATGCTTGGGAAAAATAACTGAAGTGCTTCATGTTTGTAGTAGTCTCAGGTACATACCTGAGCATCTACAGCACGCTAACACCGCGATGAACGTGAGGGCTTCCACACAAACTGAAGTTGGAATATGATGAAGTAGGATGGTGCCATTTAATTCAAACTTAAGACTGTACAGAATTGTCTCTCCTATTGCTGAAATACAAAAGCAACATATGATCTAACGGAGAATGTGGCCAAAATGCACACAGAGAGCCTTACTACCAGGACTGACATCTGGTGATCAGTTCTGATCTGACAGTCTGCTGACAAATGCCGTGGGATCTTAAGGAATATTTACTTTCACGCCCTGCTGACACCAGCACCCTGAATCACTTTATTGAGAAGAAAACTAATTCTTTAACAGTAGGACCCCCTGTTTCTAGATCCTCCACTTAGCCCATGGGACTGCAGCCTAAAGCTATGATGTCTCACTTGCATTATCTTGAATACTTTCTGGACTCTTCTTCTAGGATGCATCGCTATCCCTAAACCTTTGTGCACACTGCAGTACAGGAGAAGAAATTCTGTAAAAGCTTATCCGTGTATGGCTTAATTCGAGGTGGGAACAATGTGGACACTAAGCAATCACCACTATCTCTAGCAGTGGTGAGTTTAGCCTGTAGTAAATTACTTCATGGTGTCTTTCAGAGGCTTTTTTCCTTTCTCCCCCCCCCCCCCCCCCCCCCATACTCAACTCTTAATAGCATTCTAAAGAAAGTAGTAAAACTTCCCCCACTTCCTTCGGGGGATGTTTTACTATACTTGTCTCAGTAGCAACAGTGTAAAAATGATGCAGACTTACAGTGAAATGCTTGAGATAAGGTCACATCCTAAATTTCACCTAGAATCAGACAGTGGTGTACGTATATAGGCTATGCCTGAGGCCCACAGTCACATAAAGAAATGTAAGGCTAGTATTGCCTTATGCAGTGCCTCTGGGACTTGTAGACACTGAGGACAGAGCTGGCACAGTGGGGGACGGAGATGGGGTGTAAGGATCCATTAGCAAGTCCAGACAGTGCTTCTGCAGCTCAGCGATAAATGAGGACAGTCCAGGCGGGGAAGCCGAGATTCCCTGAACCTGCTGCCTCCTGCCATCACACGCATTTCTGGGTGTAGATCTGTGCTCACGCTGCGTGCTGACACCCGTGGTCACATCTGTCTTTGTGCGGCCAGATATTCATTTTGGCCCAGTGTTGGTGAATTACTGGATTTGCTGTTGTTTCAACCTGGATAATTATGCTACTGAATTACTGGATTTGCTGTTGTAATGACCCGGATGATGGTACTGCTGATCTGTATTTGGTACTGTACCATTGCTTAGAGATAAAGTGTTTATTCCTAAAGCTGCTGGTCCGGCGTCTGTCACCGTGTCCCAACCCTGTAACTCCGCGGGGCTGCCTCAAGCCATCACACGCATTTCTGGGTGTAGATCTGTGCTCACGCTGCGTGAGCTCCAAGGCAAAGCGACAGTACTGGGCTGCCTGATAACATGGCTCAGTTGTTATATTGATAATTATAGTGTTATTTTGCACTCAGTACTTCCTGGTCTGAGTTGCTGAATGCAATCGATTTGGAGCATGGGTAGTGTAAGGACCAGTTTTCACAAAACCTATGCAATCAGACTACTTTTGAATGTTGATTTTTAAGTGAAGCACTGCTGTGAATTTTACTCAGGTATTTTAAATTTCAAATGCCTTCCTGCTCTCCAAAAAATGCCAGTGTGGAGCCATTATTTGTGTGAAAAACTCATAGTGTGCTAGCATGAATAATGCTCACACATGACCTAGTATTTTTTGTATTTTCTAAAATCCATACTGTATCAGAAAAACCTGACACCCTGAAATTGCTATGCTGGGTACAGACTGTTTTATGTTGATGGCAGAGCTACTACCTCTTTTTACTCTGGCTAGATTCAACATTCCTAATGAAATTTATAGTCTTCTCACTATTGCTTTGCTTTCGTTCAACCCTGTATATCAGAACCAAAGTCTTTTTTAATAGAAGTTAAAATAATGACCTGAAAAATCAGTAAGTCTGCTTCCTGCACCTTCTTTTGCTCTTCAACCAGATCACTGGACAAACCTCCTCTCTTGTAAGCTTCCCATGCCTCCAGGCCATAATTGAACTCTTCTGAGTTGTGCAAGCAACCTGTGGGTAGAAGTGAACAGTCACTCCTTGCCCTGGTTCTAGTGCCGTAGCTGAATAGGAATTAAATACATGCTGCAATCTACAGTTCTGAATTTAGTTACCACTTTCCATTTTTCCCCGCTTCCCTTTTTTTTTTTTATTTTGTGTGGACAGGCAGCATCATCACAGCTGACTGTGATTTGATTTTAAACTGGCGAGGAATGTCGCGTCTCACAGTACTAAAAGTTTCGCCTTTCGGTAGTAAAGAGGACCTAAGCTTGGCTCTAGACACTGGTGACGCAGGTGGATGATTTAAGAGGATTTAAGAGAATTTTGCTAATTGCTTTGCCTCTGCATTAGGGATTACTGAAACCACCACCCAGTCACAAGCACTACACAGCTGCTTTTCAGCCTCTGTAACTGGGAAACTTGGCAGCACTGGGGAACCAGTATCAGCCAGCTCTGCTGACTCCACTACAGTTGGGTGAGCTGATTCAAGTACGTCTGAATCAGACATATACATTAATTCTGCTGATTCAACCAGCAGACCACCAATCTCTAGCAGAAGAGAGAGGCAGTAGCGTCATGAACTAAACTCTAGCAAGTCACAGAACGGTATCTGAAGGCATTTCTCACCCACAAGAAGGGGACTTCAGAGACTGACTGTGGACACGTGCTAACGCATTTTTCCCTCTCAGTAATGTCTCTGTGAGCCAAGGCTCATATCTAGGAGTGGACTTTAAGAAATGTTTATGTCTGGTTGTTAATAAGTTTCTCCTTCTTTTTGCCAGTGCTTGCACTGGACCTGTCATATTTCATTTGATTCTTGTTTTAAAGAAAGAGTTTCAGCTGTCGCAGATTATGTTATGGCTTTGTGTTTTCTAACTCGGAAAAATCCTGGGGCTAAATGCTAGTAAGAGCACAGTGAAAATATCACATAAGCCTAACGAGCATCACTGTTTTTCTCAAGTCTTAACTGCACCATCTAGTTATTTTTAGTAATCATACACTACCAAGGGTAGTCAGGAGGTGCCAAGACAGCTCAAAAGCCCAAGCACTGCAGCGCCTGGAGCGGGCGTGCAGAAAGCACTTGCAGTCGTGCTGGTTAAGGGGAGGTGGTTCTTAGAACGTCGCTGCAGTTGATTGCAAATACTGTAGAGACAGTGTTTTCCCTCATTCACTTTAGTCTAAAAACAGTTTTACAAATCTGTACTATACAGATATTTAATTTTTCTGATTGAGAGGCCATTTCTAGCGATCAGATTTATTTAAATACAGATGACACTTGTTGGGTTCCTACACTGACATTTCTTAGTCAATGCTAATAGCAAATAAAAAGCTGTGTCTTGTTAGTCGAGGGATGTTTGTATAAAATAACAGTAGCTACTTTTTCAGAGTGCACCTAACAGCATGGTTCTGGATTGTTCATGCAGCAGGATAGATAAGGTGAAAGTTTGTCTCATCGTTATTGTTGAAAAAAGTGTATTTCGGCTAGTCTCACCAACAATGTCATTTCTTGTTGCTCTTGGCTCGAACTGCATTGCATATAAATCAGATACTGTGACACTGCAGCCCTGCCTGCTCAGTTCCTCCACAGCAACCTTCTTCAAAGATCCGTTCAAGGACTTGGGCTCTTGATGTGCATAGACTATCAGGACTTTTCTCCCTGGAGGCAGAAAGAAACAGAAGATACCTTTGAGCATAAGAGGCAGATATGAAACAGTTTGTGGAGCTGATGCCTCGTTCTTCATATTTCTGTGGCGCGTTTTCCAAGCGGCACAAAATCGGTGACAACAGAATGACAGTGGCAGCATTTGACTCCTGCTCAGCAGTAACGAGTGGCTCACAAGGAACTAATCAGTGAATGTCCCCAGCCCAGCAATTTTGTGCTTTCCTGGGCGGAACTCAGTGGCCAATGGGTGCGTTTCCACAGCAGGTCACACTGCCCTACATCAGCACAACCCAGTCGTTCCTCTTGAGTCAGCATTTGTGTTTGTCTGATTCCACTAACCCCCCCCAAAACTCACCCAACAACAGGAGAAAGGAAAAAAAACCAGCAGTCTGCTGGTTTAGCTCCCTGGGCTGGGTCAGACAAGCGACAGAGCAAATGAGAGGGGCAGGCTGGGATCAAAGCTGGGATCAAAGCAATGCCAGCTTAGATTCCCTCAAAAGGTCGTGGATACAGATTCTGAGAGCTCAGAGCATCTTCCTACTGCGGTGTGGGATTCCCTCATCTTCCAGTTCAGTGCTGCGCAAGTGACAGCGTCGGGGTAGATGTTCAAGATGCCACTATCCCACTTCAGCGTCACCACAGCCACTTCAGTAGAAAGCAACGTGATTTTTTGCTTGGATGCCAGAGTGAGCTGTCTAGTGTATCCCAAACTGCTGACAAAGTGGATTCAAGGTAAGCTGAGGGGCAAGGATGGAGCTTCTTAAAGGGATGTAACAGGGTGTACCAGAGCTTGCTTGTTAAAAATTTTATTGTACGCAGGCCATTCAGTTTTAATAATTCTCTAAAAAAAACTCATTCATCACTGAACACACGAGAAAGGTGAAATACTTCTGTGGGGCAGTAGTTGTTTATACATAACCGCTGCAGAGAGGGAAATTTCCAGGGACTATTGAAAATGACTGGGTCTGCAAAACACGCAGCTCTCAGCTCCTACCTGCCGACACAACGCCTCGGGCATCTCCCGAGCTCGGTTCCTCCAGGGACACAGACGCTGTACGGCCCAGAGCACCACCGGCGTGACAGAGAAGTTTCAGCGGTCGGAGAGAGAACTAACAGAACGCAAGCTGCACGCTTGAAAAAACACCACCTCATTCTTCACTTAAATTACAAGGGGTGATTATTTCTCCAGTGTGCGCAGCGCCCGTGAAACAGCAGCTTTGCGAAGAGACTGTTCAAACGTGCGGTCAGATGCTGTCACGGATTTCAGACGTGTGTATGTTCTTTAAACCCCTGCTCCATCACTCACCCTGGAGTACCCAGAGCGGTTTCCTCCCCGCAGCTCCCAGCAAGCGGCGTCACTTAAATTACAAGGGGTGATTATTTCTCCAGTGTGCGCAGCGCCCGTGAAACAGCAGCTTTGCGAAGAGACTGTTCAAACGTGCGGTCAGATGCTGTCACGGATTTCAGACGTGTGTATGTTCTTTAAACCCCTGCTCCATCACTCACCCTGGAGTACCCAGAGCGGTTTCCTCCCCGCAGCTCCCAGCAAGCGGCGAG